CCCCCCCCCCCCACCACTGCCACCCCTCTCGCCATCTTCCCTTTTTTTATTCCCTTCCTGTCAAGTTGAAGTGGATTCTGATCTAGCAATACTGACCAATACTGTGAGGATTCATTTACATATAAGCTCTGAGACTGAGAAATAAAAGTTAAAAATCATAGGCTTCTTTAAAGTCTTCAAATGTCTTTTCAAAAAACCTAACTTACAGACACAGTTTATCAAGAAATCATTTACTTCCAGTTGATTTTGTAATTAACTACTGTTTGAGAAATAACAAACATTTTAGAGCCTTAGACACTTGTTTATGTTCTCCATAAAACTTGATTTTAGGCATTTCCAATCATATAGCCATGTAGTAATGGCAAGGAAATGCACAAAAAAGCTTGATGCACATGCAAAGTTGTTGTTTTGCTTAACAAACCGATTGCTTCTTTGATGTTCTTTGTGCCATCACTATTGTCATTGCTAAAGCTGCCTATTATTGTCTCAATAGTTTCTAATATAGGTCTTAATACATGCATATTTGTTTACAAATCCCTGTCTATTTTAAATACTGTACTTTACTAATATCAAGGTAATTTTGTTTCTCAATTTATTTTAAGAAGCCGCATCGAGTTTGAACCCAGTTATGCAAAATGTGAGGATCTTTATCCCTGTGGAAGGATGTCATTCAGGAACTTTAATCCAACTGTTGAAGTAAGTTTGATTCTGGGTAATACAATAATAATCCTACGCTTTCCAAGTGCTTTTCTTGTCTTAAACTATATACAGTCCCCTTTTTACCATAAGACCATTACAATGGGCAGTTACACTGTAACTTGTATTCACATCTACTTTAAACTCTATACTGTACTCGATCAGTAGACCATTTTTTGGACATTCATTGTACTACAATACATGTATCTTGAAATCTAAAAAAAATACAAAAATGTAGAAATATATATCCTGATGTACATGTATGTAGCTTTTAAGTGGTCTAAAAATTATATGATAGTACAAGAGATTTATACAATGTGTATGTTGTGGTCCAATTTTGTCCTCTGTTTTATTTTATTTTTCTTTCTTTTAATCTCATAATCATACATTTCCAAACCCCAAGACAAAGGAAAATGAAAATTAAGCCAAGGATAAAATTGAACCACAATATATACATTGGCATGTTCTTAAATATGCAGTTAACTTCAACTCTTTGCTTGCATGAGAAGCCTAAGGAGATTGTATTCCAGTCATGTTCTCAATGCTCAGTCTTCAAATAAATGTCAACAGAAATTGTTTAAAGAGATGCAAGCTGAGGAAGATATGGCAAGATCAGAGGAACGAGAGCGGGAAGCAACTGTCTCTGACGAAGAGATGGCGAGAAGGTAACAACTACTTTGTTAACTTTTTGTAAAAACTTGAAAATTTAATTTTTATGGTTTAATGCCTAGTACATTTTGTTAGCCTTACTGACCTCACTATACATGTACATTTACAATGTATTGTAGGGCCTCTTATTTTGACATGTAATCTGAAAAAGTCATCTCTATATCAATATGACAACCTGCACTGTACATGTGACATACCTATGTTATGATTGATTATCTTGAGAGCATACATGCATTCTCAAGATATAAAATCCTCTAGATGGATATATGGTTGGATACATGCACATGTAGGTTGGAAAGTTTGGGTGGATCACATTAGAGCGCTTGGCCACGAGGTCATGTTCCGCCCAACATGTAGTTCATGCTTGTAAAGAGTCAACTGGTTTAGCTCAGGCCAGTTGGGATTCATGACCTTGTGAGTCAAAATGAAAACTGCTGGTTTACCAGTAAATTTGTTACCCCTATAGAGTCAGTTTTTCCAATACATAATGTAATGATAAAAGAGCTTAAGAGCATCAGACAGAGGGGCTTTCCCTTGCTGAGAATTCAATAGATTCATGTACATGTATGACTGGAGCTCTTTGCTGATCAAATATATGACTAAAGCAAAAGGCCAAGGTAGTGAAACTTGTGTAATAGGAGAAAGAACACTTGAGATAGTGTGACTTGATGTTTTACTGGGTATACCTCCCAAGTTTTATCATTTACTATGCCAGCATTACAAAGATAATTTGAATTATCAGCTTTATAATTGTATGAAGATAAAAATTTGTGAAAATCCATGTAAGTAATTAAGAAAAATGCTTGATATTTTTTTAAAAAAACTTGACAGTTCTGAGGTTAATCCTTAATCAATTTATATCACCTCCAAGTGTCAAGGACATTGAAATCAAGGAATGCAATGAAATGGCACTTCCAATGTCTCAATATTTCCTAAAGTTTTTGTGTTTACCAAGTAAGCATCCTCATTATTCGCTGGCATTGTTTCCAAGTATGGTCTGTACCTGAATGAATGAATAAATGAACGAATGAATTATATTTAAGTGTCAGAGCATTTAGCTACATAGTAGCAAATTGTGGACACTAAAAGAAAATTCAAAATAAAAAAAAGTAAAAATTAAAAAAACAATTCTGCAAGTGTTTAAAAGCTATTTTAAACATTTAAAATCATTTTTTAAGACAGGGAAGGTTCATAATAAAAATCTAGAAAAACTGCACTATTCACAAAATTCAATATCGCTTAGTTCCAAGTAAAACTGATATTTAGAATATTCACAAATTATAACGTTTTAGTTAAGAAGTGATAAAATTCCGGTGCAAATGTGGTTAAGTGTTACATAAGTTACAGTTGGTGCACGTTCCCTCAGTAAACGAAGTCAAGTCTTCCTTTCTGACGTTCCATGTAAAATTGTCCAGCCAAGGTCACTGTGGATCACTTGAGGATGGTTTTGACCTGCAGTGTACAAAATTTGACACTTGCAGTGAAACCACTCGCCTGCGGCTCGTGGTTCCACTTGAGTTTTGAACATTTCATGACATCATGTCTATGTGTGTGGTCTAAGAGTGTAGACCATGGAAGATTGTGGTCGATTTGTTAATAGGACCGCTTAAAGGTGTATATTGCATTTGTGAAGGTCTAAAAGTACTCTGGATAGACTAGAAGAGTGTTTTCAATGCATTTGTGAGAAAACCGTGGATGGATGTCACTGAAACAATTAACTAAACCTCGTCTGAAACCCAGGGTACCTCCAACCAAACAGCTTTGTCTTATTTCCTTTTTTTGTCATTCAGCATGTCTAAAGGGTTGTAGTTATCATAGTTTATTATGTTAACCTCAGTTTACCTACAGATGCATAATTATTTAGTTGAAATGGGATAATGTGATGATAATTACTGGCTTAAAGACACACGTTAAGGCCGATCGTCATACATGTATGCATCTATACAACAACAATTACTTTTAATGAGAAGCACAATGTACTCCTCCTACTCTACTCCATTCAATATTGTTATTAGCCTGTGAGCAAGCTTTTTTGACTCTGAGTGAAGAGTCTGGCAAATAGAAAGCTTCAGCTTGTAAGGAATACTACTATGAGCTGCTTGGTACCTTCTAAAAAGAACATTAAAGAAACTCTTTGATTTGTTCACTTTAAAATAAAATTTTAATTCTCTTTATTATAACAGATATGAAAGTCTGGTGGGTACTGTAGCCAAGAAATTTTCAACAAAAAGAAAACGTTCATCAGCAGGTGCTGTTAATTTTGAAGCAGAAAGTCCTGCCTCTCATCAACCATCAAAGAAAACGAAAAGAGGCTTTATGAAGCCAAGGGAATAATACAGAGCGAAATTTAAAAGATAAAAATTATTATTTATGATTGAATTGGAGGGATCCCACTACAGTAGCCATTATGGAGAGGTTTCACTGTAGTTAAACGGTATTTTAAGACGGAATCCACCAGAAAATTGAGTAATTTTAATTTTGAGTGGACAAAAACCTTGTACCAGAATAATTTAAAGAATATTGCAGTCTTTTTGCATTTTGCAAGGGCTAAAGATGTAATTAGTCATCTGTACTAACACCAAACAAAATTTCTCATGGGAGTCTGAGAAAATGAATGTCAAATTTAACAAGAATTGAGAAAACATAAGTACAGTTCTGGAAATCTCATGTGTAAGATTTAATTTTGTGAAATTTGACTTTCATTTTCCTGGGCACCCATAAGAAGTATTTTTTGGTGTTATTACAAATGAGTTATTACATCTTTAGCTCTTGAAAAATTAAAAAAGAATGCGAAGTGCTTTAAATTATTCTGCTACAAGTTTTTGTTCACTCAAAATAAAAATTACTCAATTTCCTGGTGGATTGCGTCTTAATATGTTTTCCCTCACATTGAATATTCTATTTTCATCTTCCTCGATTATTTTACCATTTACAAGGAAAATTAAAAAAAACCCTCTTTGATAAGGAAACCATTTACAAGGAGCCACTCTTTTAAACTCAATTAAATGTAAGTCTGAAAAGAAAAGAATTGTTGTTGTTTACTAAAAAATTTGAATCCATAAAACATTCGATTATATGTTATGTGCTTTTTAAGGAAAAAAGCGATGTAAGTTTGCGTCCTAGAGTTACAAGAACATTTTGCCTTTTTTAGAATTTATGATATATTTTTTATTTTTTACATTTAAACTGACTTTCCACTTTAGTTGCAAATTAAATCGATTATCTGAAATATTAGGAAATGAACTAGCCAGGTCTGAACCTTCTGTTGCGACTCTAGAACAACTTTCATTGTTGTGTGACTGTTGTTAAAACGACTTTGTTATCACTCTCTTGAAAACGCTCATGTAGGGGCAAAATATGTGTTTCTTTACCAAAGATGCCTTTGAGGCCTGTATGATAACATGGTATGAAAAGAAACCTTGTTTAATTCAGATTTATCTTTGATAACAGTTGTTTGTAGAATAAACTCCTTCCTGCAACTCTTGCTTCCTTGATTTCTCCCTTCCATCATCCTGCTTTTGTGGAAAGAACACCGTATACCAATTACCAGCCACCACAGAAATATTAAGTTATTTATAAGTTATTTTGAGACGACTCAATATCCAATAAACCATCCTTTGAATGTTTGGTTTAGATTATAAAAGTGTAACCGTTGTTTTTAGGAAATTTTTATGTTAAGGATTCGATCTCCAATCCGCTCCCCTTCTTCACGCAAGGGTGAAGCGATTTGTGGCGGTAAAAAGTGTGAGACCTATATTTCTTATTGTTTCTTATTGTTACAATTCTAACAGTCTTTGCGGGTCCACAATTAAATATAGTAACCACAACAAAAAGAGTACAGGTAATTTTTTTCAGTTTGTGTTCCTTCAGACATGGGTAATCAGGGCAAGATGGCGGGAAATCCGAAGATTTGTATTGGAATTCAAAGCGAGCTAATTCTTCCTGAATTCATATATTTGCGGCGTTCTTTTTGAAAAGAGTAACTTACGAGTTCAAAGAAACAATACAGTAAATCTGGAGTGCAAAGAAGTCCGTGATCAGCTTTTAGAAAAACTCAATTTTTCCGTACATTTCCTGTAATTTTGATACTGTCGAATTACAGAAAACGTATGAAAAGATATGAATTCAGGAAGAATTAGCTGGCTTTGAATTCTAATACAACTCAAATCTTCTAATTTCCCGCCATCTTGTCCTGATTACCCTTGATGAATCTATGAGCGTGAACTCCTCTATTCACCGAAATTTGAATGTGTGTCCCGGAAGTCAATCAGTGCACCGGAAATTTTTCTGTATGATCCATATAGTTTCTGATATCCCAGCCAACGCCCTTGACTGCCTCTCTGTCCAATTATGATCTCTTGTGCTGGCTAATAAAGCCCTTTTTTAAAGAAAAAGACTTCAATTGTCAGCCTGGGTCAGGTTGTGCAAACCTGGGCGTTAAGATAACTCATGGGTTAGTACGAAATTTTAATACAGATAACCTTTTTAGAAAGCCTAAAAGCAAATTCTGTTAATTCTTTTTGTCTACTGTTTCGGAAAAAATTATCTGACAAAATGCTTTTGAACCTGAATTATATAGTGCTAATTGGCCTTCAGCTGGGCTCCTTATATTCTGCGTGGTGTTTGCAGAGACAAATGCGAAAGCTCACAAACTACCTGAAACGCGTAATAAGTCGAGTTTTTTAAGCTCTTTATTTTAAAACAACAGAGTAACTTTGATTACATAAATTGGTAAAGAGTATATGTAAACAATTAAAAAGTTAACAAAGACAATGAATTTTTCTGCGTTCCTCGTTTGAAATTACTCCTGAGCGAATCCGTTTGCCTCATGTATAAAAGGGATCCAAGACAGTCATGGATTCTGGATTCTGCGCCGTGGATTCCTGATTCCAGATCTTTTCCAGTGGAACTCGGATTCCGGATTCCAATTGTCAGTGGGATTCCAGATTCCTACAGCTGTATTCCGGATTCCACTAGCAAAAATTTTCTGGATTCCGGAATCCGGATTCCCTTACATGTATAAAGGGATCCAAGACAGTTTGGGATTCTGGATTCCGGATTCCAGTTACTGGATTCCAGATCTTTTTCTGTGGAACTTGGATTCCGCATTGCAAATGTCAGTGGGATTTCAGATTCCTACAGCTGTATTTCGGTTTCCCAGGGACAGGAGCCCGGATTCCAAAAGCAAAAATTTCCTGGATTCCGGAATCCGTATTCCCTTACATTGGACGAAATCCATACGAGTAATAAACAGTGGAATGCCATCCACCTTTCAAATCCTACTGACTATATAAGGAGCTATGTCATGGTGAGGGTCACATTTTTCCGTCAAAATGAAAACCAAATTTCCGCAGTTATTCCGTCTAGAAAGTCAAACTTAAGGAAAAATATCCGCCGGATATCAAGCGACTCTCCAGCAGGGATAACAAACACAAATAGCTGAGCTCCAATTTTGTTTAAGTTGCATGAATAAAACAAAATGCACACACCAGTAGTTTTGGGTGCTCTTTGTTTTCGGCAAATTTTTTTTAAAATTTCCCTCCTTAAAACATTTTTAACCGAGGGAATGCCAAGACACAGCTCCTCTAAGTAACCACATTAACTCCTTTACTGATGGTAACAATTTGAAAGTAAATAGGTAATAAAGGCGATAATCGTATGATTCTAACTAAATAACACTCTTTTCACTGCTAGTCCAAAATTAGATTGACGTACTTTTTCTAGTCGTAATACGTTTTGCCCGACGTGTTCTTACCTATAAATTGACTAAAATACCTTATCCTAACGTTTTGAAATACTAAGTCTTAAGATTGAAACTTTAAAACTGTGTAGCAACTACGTAAAGAAATATATTGTAATATTGTCATGGGGACCGGTTAAGATTTTCGTACCAACACGATTATTTGCTGGCAGCAGAAAGTTGAACCCTACAAAAAAAACCTCATGTAATAAAAACCACAGTGTACATACTTAAAGAATATATGCAGTGTTTACGTAAGTATACCTTATAACTGAGTACTATTTTAATCATAGAATCTCAAGACTCCACAGCGGTCCTTGCTTAACATGAAAAATGTGCATACATTTTACTATGATACTCTGCAACTACATTATTATTATATCGCATATGAATTATTAATACAGTCAGTATGTGCAAAAGAAAACGTTTTCTTGTATTGCTAGAACCAAAACTTGATCAAACACGTGTGTCGTGTGCCCGTTTTTTTTTTTTTTTAAAAAACCGGCCAATGAACTCCTCTTAGCCGCTACTTGGTAATACACCCTACACCCTGCGAGTCGAGTCGCCTCCTTTTCTCTCAGTTTTCTTTACCGAATTAGCCTGTGCACAGACCCCTCTCCCCTCAGGAAAAATCGGAGAATGGAGGGGAGGGGGTCTGTACACAGGCTATACCGAGTACGCCAAATGAAAGGCTCTGCTGGTAGGGAGGGTAATGTAAAACATTCATTGGAAAAATCAACTAAAAGTCGATCCGACAGTTTGAACTGACGTCTGGAACGACTGTAACAGTAAAAGTTATTGGTCCCTAGTATCTAGCCTGCAAAGCAAAGCAGGCGTATTTTGCCTGAGTGCGAACGATGGTACTATTTTGGAGGGCCAACGCTTCGCCGCCAACTGACAGAGAGTAGCGGCGAGTCCAAAAATGATTCCAAGGGTAGAGGTTACCCGACCCTCCTCTCTTAGTTTTTATGCTATAATTTCTAGATGGGGGTGGTAATCAATGTTCCTCTGAGCTTTGCAGGCTACCTTGAATCCAAGTCAATTGTGAGTTGCATTTTTGAAATAAGCTTACGTTCTTATTATCTGACTACACGAAGCTTCAAAACAATGTCTTATCAGTCTAAACATTTCAATTGCGTTGCTACTGATCTCCTGTTAAACCTGTCTGAAAACCTAAAATCCACCTCTCCTGAGCTAAGAATTGGTTTTCTTACTGGGAACAGTCCCCTCAAAATAGACAAAGCGTTTTTATTCCTGACACTGAACATTCTGTTACAAGACTTGTAACCCTCATTTTCGTGCACTGAATCTTTTCAAGTCCTAGAAACAGTCAAATTGTTGTCACTGGGTCACCGAGTTCGAAGACTTTTCAACGCCGAGTGTATTCAATATCGATTCGTCTGGAGTCGAGGATCACTGTTTACTAGTGTAGCCAAATGAAACGAAACTTGGTAAGATGTTGGACGAGGCAGACTTTGCAAATTATGGCTTCCCTCCCTTACGAGACTTGAAAGACATTTTCCTCCAGGAGGCCAAATCGAAGTCTAAAATGCTACTATTATTTTTAGATTTAACAGCATTGACTTAATTTAAACCCGCTCATAAAAGATTTTAGCCCGCGCTGTGATGTGAAATAGTTTTCATTTAATTTGACTAAGGACGGGAAATCGCAGTAAATCATCATTTGAGATTTAAATCATTACATCGAATCGTTCGAGAATTCGCTGAGAGAATGGGTATATAACGTCGCTTAATTGAGGAGGATTTTTTTTGTCCCAAACAGGTTAAGGGCTTGGGTTCAATTTTAAAGCCCAGAGGCCCGTTTCTCGAAAGTCCCGGTAACATTTCGGGCCCGAAATCAAATATTCAAATCGGAAATGTAAAGAGTAAGATTGCGGGTCCTGGCAACCAAACTACTCCATTTTGTTTCATTAACTGACAGTTTTATCATGTTAGATGTAAAACTATTGAAACCTCAATCTTTAATGTAAACGGAGACAGCTTACCGGGCCTGTTAATTATCGGGACTTTCGAGAAACGGGCTCCAGGTTTCTATTTTCAAAAAGATATTCTGGTTACAATGTGTGACTACGAATGTTGCCCAGTTAGAGAGACTGGAGTAGTAAAAACGTTTGCTGTGCAGGCTATTTTTTTTTCGATTTGATTACTCCGACTAGGATTGCAAATGCTGTATCCGCCATTGCTTTCAAAATGTAGTCGAGAACTTTATATGTGGTAATACCTGACAGTGGACAGGCAATAATCAGCCCGGCTGGAAGAAAAGAAAACACCTTTTCAATTTGTGTTTCTACGGCATAAGCGGCTGCTAGGGCACCGATGCCTTTGGCAGTAAATTCGGTCAGAAGTTTTAATGTTAAGCTAACTTTAGCTTTGGAGGTGGGGTCTAGGTTCTCAAATTCATCCGATTTTTCTTCAGGAATACCAAGCTCGGTTTTGTAACGCTTAAATTCTTTCTTAATAAGCAAGACGTCAACACCAATGGATACTACAGGAACCACTGCAGCAACACCAGACCATGCACTAGTCTTCCATATATCCCCTCCAAGAACCTTAACTTTTTCCTCTAGAGCCGCCATCGACGCCTTTTCCAGCAAACGGATCATAGCATCTTGTTGATTTTGATACAACACATCTCGGTTGGCTTTTATGAGAGGTTCCAACTGATACTTTTCACCACACTTCTCACCACACTTTTCACCACGCTCTTCACACTTTTCACGACACTTCTCAAAACCATGGCAGCTTATCAGGAATATCTTTTCCTCATTGCTCAGCAGGTCACCCAGTTTTTCCGAACACTCACTTCGAATTTTTGCCAGCACATCAGCCTCATTAAATGATTCGCCGCATGACCGTTTGGCACTTCTAACATCTTGATCAATTTTTGCGCGAACAAAGAAATACTTCTTACGGTGTGATGTAATTTCACGGGCCAATTCGAGGTCGTCCTTTCTGAAGCGGGTATCTATGAAGATTACGAATGTGTCGTATTCATTCAACTTCACATCTTGAAAGTATGTCTCTGCAGGGAAGTTGTCGGTCCCCATTCCTGGTAAATCCCAATATTCAATGTTAGCATTATCTGGGTCTTCATACCGTTGACAATCTTGAGTAGACTCAGTTACACCAACCTTGGCAGCTCCTTTGGCAGAGTCTTCAAGCCTGAAAAATGGAATACAGTGATTGAAGTTCATAAAACTATTCCTCCGTTCAGTTTCTGATTAGCTATTTTTTCATAACATGTTTCAACATCGCGCTTTGTAGATTCCCCGTCTGGCTATGACTCTTTCTTGTCCTCCTATTTTTCCCCGGCCAACAAACAGAGAAAGAGGGTAACGAAACTTGGGAAACACTTCGGCCTTGCTGTATTTACTTTCAATAACCATTGAGCAGCAGAGCAAATATGGAGATAAAAATCAGCTTATTATTATTATTATTTAGTAAAATAACATCATTTTGTAGTGGACAGTTCTTTAAGAAACGAAAAATACGATTTAACCCTCGGACGTTTCAGGAGGGGAGGGGGGAGTTGTTGCCACCCCCTCTGAGGTTTTTCTGATTTTTTTTCCTAGACGATTAAACATTGGCACCTGACGTTTTCGGTAGCTGTTCGTTTATTGCTCGCGTACATTTTGAGACAGGTTTTGTGATGGTAAGTTTCTATGGTAACGAGATATGACGTCATAGGTAGCTGGTGGTCTAGCCATTTTTTGTGAAAATGCACGTTTTCTAAACTTTTTTCAGCGATAATTAAAGTGAAGCTTTTGAATAAAATGATGTAAAGTACTTATTTATGTGTTATTTACATGTCAATTTTGACGGTTTTTAACCTGATTTCCAATTCTTGATAAAATCCAAGATTTCGGCCGCGATGGTGACCTCACAGGCCGCCAGCAGTGCCACCACCAATGAAACATACCAAATCTTGTTGAGAAAATCAACGGCTTTCCACTTGAGGGAAAATCGTCAAAAAAATGGTCAAAAACTGAGGGGGGGGGGGGCCCCCCCTTTTGCTAAGGGGGGGGTTTTGCTTTGGGGGGACGGCCGGGGGGTTGAAAAAGATGGACATTAAATAGACCAATTTCGTTTTAAATAAATTCATACTTGGTTTCATCAGGGAATAAAAAAAAAGAAAGTATTAGTATATATTTGCATTTTTGGATGTTTTTACACTTTTTTTCAATTTTAAAAAAAAAACCAGGATTCGGCCGAGGCGGTGACCCCAAAGGCCCCACGCGATGCCACCCACAAAGAAACAAACAAAATTTTGTGGAAAAAAAAAACGGCTTTCCCATTGGGGGAAAAGCGGAAAAAAAGTGGGGAAAGAGGGGGGGGGGGGGGGGGTCCATCCCTTGTGCTACGGTGGGTGTATGACTTTGCGTGCACGTCCGAGGGATTGACAAAGATGGACATTAAATAGACCAATTTCGTTATAATAAAATTCATACTTGGTTCCATAGGGGAATAAAACAAAAGAATGTATTATTCATTGCTGAGCCTCAAGAGGATTTCTTTTGTTTTATTCCCCCAACTGAGCCTCGCAGCCAAGTATGAATTGGTCTATTGGTGAAATTACTGCGACCGATTGAGTCAAGATTGAACCAAAAATTCAAGACTGAATAAAACCGAATGGAGCGGACTTGCCCGAGATAGCAATTTCAAAATATTTTACATGATTTTCAAAGCTATAATTTTTCCTTAAATTATGCGATGTTAGAAAGATATATTCCACTCTATGTGATCTTAAGTTTGAAACCTTTATTAATAAGTAGACCGTGATATATTTCAAATGGACTGCGCCCAATGAAGTTTCTTTGTAGAAGTAAAGCAGGTAACGGTTGTTTCCTCGAAGCAACCCTAGTAGTCGTGGAAGTGTGTGTTTCCCCTTATTTGTAAAACTGCGTATATTTCCAATTCCAACTTCGACTTCAGTTACTTTGGAGAATATTAGGAAACATTTGCATGAACACCAAGAGACAAGACAAATGGAACATAACTCGTATCTGAAGAGCATAAATATACAAGATCCCTTTGTTTTCACCAGACGACGGTTTTCACGGTTTCATACGTCTGTTTTCTCGGAAATCCGAAATTGGTTGAGACAACAGTACTGTATAATCACATCAGTTTGGATCCGAGCTTATTGACTCAAAAATTCTTAATTTTTTTACGGTTTGATGTCAAAATTGTCTTGATTTATATTATTTTGTTCAAGTCTCTAATAAGTACGATACAAAAAACAAATAATTTATATAATTTTGCAATGCTACTTCCACTTTCGGTTTTCTTTCAGACTTCCGGGTGAAAGTGAAACAAAGGAGTTTACTCCTCTGTAAATAAGTGGAAGTTTCACTGACCATGTAAACATGGGAAATTTCCCTTACATTAAAATAGAGATAGTCTAACAGATTTTGATGAGGCTGCAGAAAACTGCTTTACTTAAACATTGTCACATTCGATGCCTTTATTGGACTTATTTACAAGTAGTAGCGTTTCAACAAGAAACACGATCGCCATTAATTTCGCTTGGAAAAAGCCGGCAATCAATTTTCGTCTGCTAAGACTAACAGCACCTTTTAAAATAACTTTCCTTGAAAAACAAATATAAAAATGCTTCCATTTTTTCTCACCTTAGTAACGTGTTGATAAAAGTAGATTTTCCGGATCCAGTTGTGCCAACGATTGCGGTCTTTACCTTTACTTCTCCCGCAGAATTCTTCAGTTTCTCCTCAAAGAAGTCGTTTATTTTCGAAACACCGTTTTTCATGACATATGAATATGCATCATCGTAATGCTTCTTCGGTGCCCATGGTTCCATTTTGGTCAATTTCGCAGCCATGATGAACGTAGAAAATTGCAATGGAAATATTTGATCAGCTAGCTGAAGTAAAAGGTTGGTTGAAATCCAAGATGGGGCGGGCGTATCTCGGGGATTACTAAATACCATTCATTTTTTCTTTTCGAGGAATAGAAATGACTGGCACGTTCCATTGACCTAACTAAGAGCCTTCAGGCTTTTTGTCAGTGGGTGATCGCCAATGACCTGTGATAAACTCAAGCCTAAAGAAAAGAATTTCCAGAATAAGTGGGAGAGCGCCGATCTGCCGAGGCAGGAGGTCGCTGGTTCGAACGCCGGACGGACCAACACGCAAGATCTTTACTGAAATAACTGAGAAGAAAGTGCTGCCTTTGTAATGACATAAGGACGAAAAGCGGTAGGTCTCGTCTCGCAGCACTTTCACTTTTCTGATTTTTTGGAACATAAAAGAACCCACACCACTGTTCGAAAAGAGAAGGTGACGTAACGTAACTTTATTTCAAACAAAGACAAGTGCTATCTTGTCATCTTCCGCTCAACCGGCCAAAAATTGAAAAAGCGCCCCTGTCGCTAATTCGAGCGTTTACTTTTTGTCAAAGTTACTCGTAAGGGTGGTTCAATTTTACTAAAACTAATCTAGGCTAGTATACGTATCTTCACGACTCAATCAATATCCAAATCCTCGGCTGATTTGTGGGCAGCTTCAACAAGGACTGATAAAGCTGCTTCTTCAACTTTTTCTAAACAATGCTTAAGAGCATAATATGTAGTAGCAAAGGACATTCCGCCAGCTATAGCCAAACCAAGCAATGGGATAAAACGAGCAAATTCCTCAACGCTCGCTTCTGCGGCATAAGCTGTTAAGAACCCGGTGACTTGAGCTGCAGTTGTCAGACACATTCTACGGACTTTTTCTCGGGTGTTGACTTGTAGATTCGCAAATTCAGCAGATCCTTCCTCAGGAAGACCAAGCTGGGTTCTGTAAAATGTGATTTCTTTTATCATCAGCGCAATGTCAACAGCCACGGACAATCCAGGGATGGGAACCATCGCGGCGGCGGCAGACGCTGAAGCAACCATCCAAATACGCCCTTTAAGAACCTCTACTTTCCTCTTTAGCATCTCGGTTGACAAGCTTTTCAGAACGCCAAGGGACAAGGTTAAACTCTCTCGCTGATACCTCGGTAGCACATCCAGAATGGCTTTTCTCAGTCGATCGAATTCCCACTTTGCAGGATGATGGTTGCTTATCAAAAATATATCCTCAGTGTTGCTCTTCAGGTGACCCAGGTTTTTCGAACAGTCTGCTCGGATTTCCTCAAGCATGGCTTCTTCGTTAAATGATCCTGGGGACTTTGACCGCTTCTCGGCGCGGACATTTTCATCAATTTTGGTGCGAATGAAGAAAAACTTCTTGTCAATCGAGCTAATTTTCTCTGCCAGTTTTAAGTCGTTCTCGCGGAATCGGGTATCAGTGAATATGAGAAAGGCGTGGTACTTGTCTATTTGCACTTGATCGCAGTACGTGTCCACAGGAAAGTTTGGAGTCCCCATTCCAGGCAAATCCCAGAACTTGATTTTAGGATTGTCTGGGTGATCATATGGTGTTGGTTCTTGGCTGCACTCAGTGACGCCAACCTTGGCTGCCTTTTCGTCGAAGTCTTTAAGGCTAAAAACAAACAAACAAACAAACAAACAAACAAAAAAGAGTGAAAAAACTAGTGTCTGGGACTACTTATACACCCTGTCTCACTGCATTGCTCTTACTTATGTGAAGGCCGCGTGGTAGCCTGAGTAGCAAGCAGGCATTTCTGGGTAAGGGTTAGTTTCGTGTTATTGTGTCAAATGTACTAACTCTTAGTGCAATCCAGGCTTTTTAATGACCCATTTTTANGGGGGGGGGGGGGGGGGGGGGGGGGGAGCAGGCTTCAAATCCGCTCATAGTACGGAAAATTACACAGAATATTGAGTCAGAATATCCGGTATAGTCAATCGATAGAAATTGGTCAGTTGATTCATCAATCAATAAAAATCGGTAAATTTAAATTGATTGATATCGATTCTATCGATCAATCGGTAAAACAAACTCGCTTCTTTCATCGATTTATTTCGAGAAGATACCACATCAGTTCATCAGTTCATCAAATAATGAAAACTAGATTCACGCAAGCAGTAAGTTTGTATTGGCCAGCCTTGTAGGCGCCCAGTTTTTCACGATCGATGTTTTGACCCCCCTCCCTTTCACGTCGGTGTAGTTCCGGGTGTAGTTACATCCCGGAGTAGCTAATAGGTAAAAATCGAAATCGATAAAAATCGTTAGAAATCAAGAGATTTTTTCGATTGATAACGCGAAACGGTGAAATTTTATCAAGGGTAATATTTTAGCCTGAACTTAGTTCGATTCGATTCCAGGGGATATCTTAATTTCAGGGTAGGAGTAGGGTTGTATTTCTGGTTATATACTAACGTGCAAGAAGTGGATGTAATTAAACCGAACTGTTTTTGTCATTATTCGGACATTATGTACAAAATAGACTGAGGGTTTTACAAATAAAAAAGGCGGTTGGGTGTGAAATGGCAGTTCCACGCATTTTTCATTTTCATGTTTGTTGGTCAGTTGTTACACGTGGATGTGTTTTCTCGTCTGTACTTTCTACCTTGTGCCAAAAAGCAACCTTAAAGACGGACTTCCGTTATAAATCGCTAAAATCATGAAAAATTTATAATATGGATTTGACATAGCAAATTAGTTAATCGATTTTCCATATCCCGCTTCTGTTCCTGAGCGTATTTCTTCAATAATCTCACGATACGTGCCCCCTGAAAACTAGTTTCGCGCAGGAAAGATGAGCACTAGCAATAATTTATGTGGTAATGGTACACTTCTCTTTCTCCTGATTGGTTCAGCCTCCTTGGCTTTGTCAGTTATTGCACATAGAACTTACCTCGGAGACTGTCATCATGAGAAATTCTTTTGCTAGTTCTTTTTTACATATAAACGAATTCATGGAAAAATTCCTCGAGGCAAAGAGAACTAGACCGTCCGTACAAAACGTTGCTTCCCTATGGACAACAGCCATTTGCCCATGGGTAAAACGGCTATAACACACTGAGATTGACTCACTGACTTATTTTTATTCTAAATTTCCGAAACTAAAACCACGCGCTCAATGCCCTGCAATGTCTGATTAGCCTGCAAACAGTTGTTTTCGATGCAACAACTTCCGGCTTTCTTCAATATTGGTAGTAGAAGTGAAAGTACAAAGTTCGTAGAAAAACAAATTGATCAAAGAATCCGACACAGAAGCAATCACATGAAAAACGTTTTGCTATCTCTAGATATCAAAGCCCGACTAGAAAAAGCTTTGCTTCAGCTCAATAATTTAGTTAATTTTCTTTTATTTTCATAAATACTGAAAGCCACATGGTGTTTATGAATTCGAACCGCGGCGCCTATGAAAGTTTGAGTCTACAGTAGACAGTGACACGAATTAAAATTTGATAGGAAATCCATTTCAAAATGCTTCGCCATTTTTACTTACTCTCGTATCGTGTTGATAAAACTCGATTTTCCAGCTCCGGAGCTGCCAGAGATTGCTATGTTCACCTCCACGTCTCGCCAACGTTCCAACTTGTTTTTAAAAAATTCTTCAATGTTTGAAACGCCATTCTCATCTACAAAACCTTGGACTTCTTCGTGGTAAATGTGCTCCCATGCCATGTCGTCCATGATGAAGAGAGAAAAATTTGAACTGGGAAATTTGTGGCGGCCGCGGAACTAGAGTCGGTTAGAGCGCGTGGAAAGGATTTCACTTCCTTGGTGTTAGGGCTATTCTATTTAATATCTACACCCCTCCCCCTATGAAATTTTTTTTGGGGGGGACGGGTCGCTGTGTTGGCACTTTTGATCTACAGAATATTTCTCAGGCCATGGGTATGGGAAAAATACCCGGCTTTTTTGGGAAGGGGGAAAGAACCCGGAACTGACCATTCCGGTGGGGGGTGGGGGGGGGAAAGACTGGGTCGGTAACTTTGAGGGAAGAGGATGAGAAGTGTGGAATAGTACTAAGCTTTCGGAAGAAAGTCCACTCGAGCTCCAATCTGTCAAAGGAGACCTTTTGACCGATTAGAGATCATAATCGGACAACGTTCACACCCATGGATCACAGGAGCGCAAAAACATCAGTGTTGCTCTCTATAGATAGACCTGATCTCATGTGATCTGAGCGCCTCACCTTGTGTTCACGTGTATCGTGACTACCATTTAATGATGATTTGCTTCATTTTGGCCGATTTTTGACGATTTCTACTACGGTGAGCAAGGGTGATGATGAGGTCAACTGATCATGCTTAAAATCAGCCAAAATTTTAGCTGTTGGGAGACAAATTCTGCACTTCTTTACGGATAGCTGAGAAATGAACCTTTCCACGATTTTTCAACTTTTAACACAGACAAGTTGGGGAAAATCCGTTGAAATCATTGGATAGAGCATCTTACATTCTTGTAGTAATTTGCCAAGTTTGAAGTGATACTTCTTAATTAAGCGAGCGAAGATATGCTCCGCAAAATGGCGAAAATTTACAGACGTTTTATTATGCACCATATCGTAACTGGCAAACGTCTTCGCAACTTCCAGGAGAGCAATATCTTCGTTCGTTTAAAACAAATCACTTTCAAAGTTGGCAATAAATTTGATCAAAGCCAGTCCGCAAAAATAAATTCCCGCNGCTGTTGGGAGACAAATTCTGCACTTCTTTACGGATAGCTGAGAAATGAACCTTTCCACGATTTTTCAACTTTTAACACAGACAAGTTGGGGAAAATCCGTTGAAATCATTGGATAGAGCACCTTACATTCTTGTAGTAATTTGCCAAGTTTGAAGTGATACTTCTTAATTAAGCGAGCGAAGATATGCTCCGCAAAGTGGCGAAAATGTACAGACGTTTTATTATGCACCATATCGTAACTGGCAAACGTCTTCGCAACTTCCAGGAGAGCAATATCTTCGTTCGTTTAAAACAAATCACTTTCAAAGTTGGCAATAAATTTTATCAAAGCCAGTCCGCAAAAATAAATTCCCGCAAATGTTTCTTGCCACACGGTACATTCCTTATGAAGAGAGCATTATCCCCTCTTGTTCGCAGTCCAGTTAAGACCAGTTAAGGGAAATCGTGAAGCAAGCACTCCGAAACAAGTTCGGAGAGTCAAGGCCTTCGCTTTTCAAACTTTTCTTTGTGGGGTGGGGGCGGGGGTTTATTTTGGACAGTGTTTTGATTTTCGCTCCTGTATTTGTATAGGTAATAGCATAATTTGTAGTGATATTTGGCATAAATACCACGAGTGATATTTCGAAATTGTTATACGTAATTTCACGAGCCGTTAGGCGAGTGAAATTTGAGACAATTTTGAAATATCACCAGTGGTATTTATGCCAAATATCACTTACAAATCATGCTATTATTCGTTGATACTACTACCCGCAAAAGGTTTGTAATTTTCACATGTGGGTATTTCAAATTAAGCTGAAACACCACTGCTCAAAGCCAATCAAATTGCAGAAATTTCTCATGTGGTAGTATAATATTCCGTTATACGACTATGTGAGAAATATCTGCAATTTGATTGGCTTAGAGCACTAAGTAAAAATAACAGGGAATTAAAACGACCATACCTTACAAAGTACTGAACCTCTAAAATGAGTTTAGTCACCACACTTTATCACAGTTTTCAAACAAGCAAAAGCAAGCAATCACATTGCCTTAAATAGGTCAATAAGAATAACAGAACCTATATTGTACAATAATTCACGAGCATTTTGGCTCAGTAACATCATTATATTCCTTCAAAATAAAAATTTACTATTTTTGTTGTCAAGGCATCGCGGCAGGGGTGTAGGACTGGAAAATTAATTTGTAATAAGACTAATCCATTTAAAAAAGGCTGTAAAATGTTCAGCTCATTCTCTTGTTTTTATAGCTTGTTACTATGAATGATAGATAATTTGCTGTTTAAGTTATTCAAATTTTCAATTTTATTCTTTTATTAAATAACCTTTCATCAGCAGGACAAAGTTTCTTTGCTTGTTGCTGCATCTGCACATAAGGTCCACTTAAGTTTGCCCTATTGAAAGGGAATCTGGATTCTGGAATATGGGAATTTTTGTTTTTTGAATCCAGAATAGGAAAATTTTGCTTATGGAATTCGGAATCCCGAGTTTTGGAATCTGGAATCGCACTAACGATTGGAATCCAGAGTCCAACTTGTACCGACAAATACTGGAATCCAGTAGCTGGAATCGACAGCATGGAATCCAGAATCCAAGGCTGTCCTGGATTTCCTTACTTGTGGCGATTAAGTAATAAAATGTTAGCACGGGTGGGTACTATGAATCACAACAAGTCACATAATTTGCCGTTATTTTCAGAAGCTATAGAGTCCTAGAATGTGATGTCATAAAAAGTAAATTTGTGAAATTAAGGGATTTGTCAGGATATTAGGAAAGAACAACATCCAAATGGCCAACTTGCCAAATATTAGCATTCCGGGGCAAATTATCTTATTTATTCATTTATTTCTTTTTATTAGCTTCACCAATATAATATAAATACATTTAGGTAATCAAACAAAGTAACAAAGAAAAAGTGTCAGGCATTCTGAAATTAGATTCAGATATTAGCCCAGTTATGCTCTGATGACTCCATACAAATCCTTCTAAATCTGACTCAGTTCATAACATTAGGAACCAAATCAATTTTAGAACTTAGGATTTGTATGGAGTCATCAGAACAAACCAGGACTAGCATCTCTAAGACAATTTGCCCCAAAATGCTAGCTTTTGGCAAGTAGGCCTTTCAGAAGTAATGTTCTTTCAAATTACCCCGACGAATTCCATAATTTCAAAAATTTAATTTTCATGACATCATCACTTTAATTAGCCTCTCTCCATGGGGGAGAAATGAATGCGTGACGAACGAACCCCAAAGAACGTCTGCGGGGAGGCTACACTTTAATAGAACTCTATTGAGACCCTGATTAATGTCCTGCTGCAAGTTAAGGTTATACACAGCAGTCAGAAAACTCACACATTCCTGCAAAAATCCTACACTCCTGCATTAGCCTTGAATAATAATTATTATTAGAATTTACAAAATCAGTGGATAGCAATTTTTGTGCATTTTGATTGGTCCCTGTAACTTACAATATCACTGGCTATTCACTGTTTTGGAATGCCAGGGAGTCAACATGGCATCCCATTTTGCAGCATTTTTAGACTCAAGACGAAACTGGTATGTAGAAAATATTACTAAATTTGTAACAAAATAAAGGAAAAAACATGCCGCAATTCCCAGAAGCCCTGCCTATATTATTCAGGAGCCCATAACCTGGAGCATGCAACTCCCATNACTGCAGTCAGAAAACTCACACATTCCTGCAAAAATCCTACACTCCTGCATTAGCCTTGAATAATAATTATTATTAGAATTTACAAAATCAGTGGATAGCAATTTTTGTGCATTTTGATTGGTCCCTGTAACTTACAATATCACTGGCTATTCACTGTTTTGGAATGCCAGGGAGTCAACATGGCATCCCATTTTGCAGCATTTTTAGACTCAAGACGAAACTGGTATGTAGAAAATATTACTAAATTTGTAACAAAATAAAGGAAAAAACATGCTGCAATTCCCAGAAGCCCTGCCTATATTATTCAGGAGCCCATAACCTGGAGCATGCAACTCCCATTATACTAGGCCTATGTCACGGCGTTTTTACAGACCGGTTTATTTTTAGACACATTTTAATCTCCGCCATGTCCATGAACGCATTCGAAGTATAAGGGGCTGTCCACACTTGGTGCTCAGGAACCAGTGCCTGTGTACTGTACCGGCACAAAATGGTCCTGTGTTCGCCCTGTCAGACACCATTTTGAAACATGTGCTTAGCAGCGAGAACAAAGCAGTGGACTGCCTGGAACTTACAAAAGTTGTGTGCACACTGGAACCCAGTGCCCACTTCTGTGCACTTGCACCCTACACCAAGTGTGAATGCTGCATGACAGCTTAAGATTTCAAAAAGGAAAACGTAACGTCATTAAAAGGCAAAAATTATCATTTTTAGGTCTGTAGGTTTTGATGACTGGTTTGTGGGACTTAAAAGATATTTTAAATTCGTGTCAAAGCTGTTCTAAAAATAAACTGGTCCATAAAAACACCATGACATGAGTACGTGGAAGTTGCTCGCTCCAGGTTATGGGCTCCCGCTATACTAAAATGTAAACAAAGCCCTAACTAAGTGATGTCTTTTATACACAAATATTACTTTTGAATCTTCATGGAAATTTCGTAAATATTATTTCTATCCCTCTCAAGGACAGTTCATAGCCCTAGATAATACCTCTCCTGTTTGAGGGATTGTTGTATATTATTTAGTTAATATATCGTATAAGTAAGTGGTATTGAAATATGCCACTCACTTCTTTAAATAACAAAATTGTTTGTTTCCTAGACAGATGAGTTTGTTTAAAATTCGGTAACATTACATAAAGCTCTTCAGGTATCAAACATTTCATTGAACCTAACATTTTCCACCTCCGGAATCAGAGCCTGCCATAATGTGCATGAGTAATGACAAAATCTTAAAACTTACCTGGTGTGCCAAATTGATGAAAATCAATCACCGGAAACCAATCAATGTAATCCATATAATCGATAAAAAGTAATTGACTGAT